GACGAATTAGACAATAGAGGCCAACGCTCCTAACTTGAACGTTGAAGAGCTAGCGGCTTACGCCACCACTAAGAGCCAGGCAGGAGTCCCAGACGAAGAGATCCTGCGTGAGATCACGCAGATGCTGAGAGAGGACGGATGGAAGGAAGCAGCGATTGGGCCAACGATCGAAGCAGTCGTTAAGCGATCATCAGTCGTAGGGGGGAAGGCTCACCAAGGCAGGAGGGCTCACCGAAAGCTAATCAGAACGCCGTGGCCCAAGTAATGGAGCAGATGATGCAGCTGCTCAGCCCAATGGCTAGTCGCCTAGAGGCACTTGAGAGGAACCAAGCCGAAGGACGTTCGGAGTCATCCCCAAGAGTCGACACTCCTCCACCACCGCTAACAACAGTCGCCGAGCCAGCAGCCCGCAAGAATAAGTTTCCCGACCTAGAGCGTTTTAATAGGACACGTGATAACTACCTAGGTTAGAAATTTGAGTGCGAAGGGAAGCTAGAGTACGACTACGCCATGTTCCTAATAGAGGACGCAAAGGTCCGATACGTGCTCAGTCGAACGAAGGGCAAAGCAAACTAGGTCCTTCTTCCCTGGGTGCTTAAGAATAAGGAATGAACTACGGCCGGCCTATGGGAGCACATGGATACTCACTTCCAAGACGTGCACTAGCAGCAGCGTGCGCTAAACAAGCTTCGGCACTTAAAGCAAGGACGACGACCAATACGCGACTATATCTTGGAGTTCAACCAGCTTCGCGTAGAGTCCTAACAGCAGTTTAGCCTAGCAGTAGCTTATAAGATGTTTAGTGAGGGACTTAGAGAAGAGCTCTAAAAGCTAATGCTCTATACTTTAAAGAACGGAAGTCTAAAGGAATATATAGACAAGGCAATCGAGCTTTCCAATGACCTATACCAGATCCAGTTGCACGGGAGGAATTGAAGGAACGCGGCCTACAGCCATGCGCAAGCTCCCCCGAAGGTCGCTCAGCGAGATGCTAGTCCAGAAGCGATGGACTGGGAGCCCTCGAAGGCCAATCGGGCACGGGAAACGAAGGATAGACCAAGGCGGTCCCCACTAGACTGCTATAGCTGTGGCGAACTAGGCCACATCGCTAGAAACTGTCTGAACACCACTCGGGTTAAGAGAGCCGTTCCCCTAAGCGAAGGGCAGAGACGCCAGAAACAGATCGAATGCCCAGACGATAGCGACTCGGAAAAAGAGTAGCTCTGGGCTAGAGTCTCGGCCCAGAGCCTCTGAAGATGGATCGGCAGACACGTAGCGAATGGAATCAGTTTCAGCAGAAGCATATGCGTCCCCCACCAATCACTGTAGATCTTATCGTGAACAACGTAGCAAACGCTGTCGCGCTTATAGACTGCGGATGCCTATGCTATGCACTAATTAGCAAGAGATTCGCTTACCGCCACCGTCTAGAGCGCTTTTAGATCCCCTCTTGGATAATTGAGGGAGTGAACAGCAAGCTATTAGAGATTAGCGAGGTCGCCTAATTCTCGTTCAAGATGCATGGGTACGAAGAGACTGCTTATGCATACGTGATAGACTTGTCCTCTAGTAAGGACGTGTACCTTGGCAGGGGATGGATAGACCACTAGGACGTATCAGTATCTCCTGCCAAGAAGAGTATTTTTATCCACTCGAAGGGCATTCAAGTAAGGTCAACTAAAGGACGCCTACAAGGAGGAGTTAGCTAAGTTAACGCTGTAGCGTTTGCGGCCTTAGTTCGTAGACATAAGAACACTCCAAATAGCGTTTAGATCTTCGCCGCGTCGATTGTAGACATCGACAAGGCGCTACAACCAAAGAAGCCTGTAGATGTACGAGCGCTGCTACCAACACAGTACCAGGAGTTCTATGAGCTCTTTAACCCGAAGCAAGCAGAGAAGCTTCCACCGCACCAAGGGCCAGGGGTGGACCACAAGATCAAGCTAGAGCCAAAGGATGCTCAGCCACCGTAGGGACCCCTCTATAGCATGTCGCGCGGAGAGCTCCTAGTCCTTAGAAAGGAACTCACATCGCTTCTTGAGAAGGGATTCATCCGCGTAAGCAGCTCGCCAGCTGCAGCGCCAGTATTGTTCGCCAAGAAACCTAGAGGAGGGCTCCGACTGTGCATCGATTATTGAGCTCTGAACGCAATTACTAAGAAGGACTGGTACCCGCTACCCCTCATCTAAGAGACACTTAACAGCTTAAGCAAGGCC